GCATCTGGGGTTATATGGCRAGAGAAGACCAGAGATGTAGTTCGGCGCTTGGCCACGTAGAGCTCTAAAAGTGAGAACCAGGATTTTGAACTTGAGTTTGAATTGTACAGGTAGCCAGTGGAGGTCTGATAATATAGGGGTGATGTGAGAAAATTTGGATGTTCTAGTTAGGAGTCTAGCGGCAGAGTTTTGAACAAGTTGGAGCCGGTTTAATTGTTTCTGATGTAAGCAGGTGAACAGGCTGTTACAGTAGTCAAGACGGGTTGAGATAAAGGCATGGATTACCATTTCCAATTTCCATTACCAAATGTGATGAGTGCCATGCAATCGTGAGTGCTATAGCCTTTGAATGAAACCCTACGAAATGTGATTTAGTGTTATTTTAGATRGTACAAATTCTCTCTGGAATCAGTATGGTTAGTTTGACTTATGAGAATTTTACTCATTCTCCAAAYTGAAAATGTTCCGGCAGCTCTCTAGTGTTAGAGTAAGTTAGATTTAAGGACCACTGAGGAGAACTCTAGAGACCTTACTGCAAGCAGTGCAATCTCTTTGTGTTGTAGAGAGCAAAAGTCTAGAGCTGATTGTAGATGGAGTTAAGAGGGGTAAATACAAGTGCAGAAAGATGTGCTGGGTAAAAACAAGAACAAAATTCCCATGAATCCTTTCCAGTGATGTCTTGTTAAGAGTGCACGCTGTTGTTGCATTTACCATTTTATTCCTTAACAGCCAATTAAAAACAAGACATCTAGTGGAGTTTGAACAATAGCATGTTCGCAAAGTTTGTATGCTAACAAATATATCTGATATAATGCGATGGGTCTTCATTTGTCCCTGTCCTTTTGGTGGTTTTATACAATTAATGAATTATTTATCATTTTAAAACTGAGCTTGCATGTTGCATCATATACCGGCAAGACCGAGAAAATACTGCAGGGTTATAAGGAGCAAAAAGTTCAGCGAGAAGGAAAAACTGGAACTAAAGAAAGAAGAGTGAAAAGGAGAAAACACTTTCTTTCTTCTCACTTCAGTCTCCCTCAAAAGTAAAAGTTGCCACCACCTCATCAGTAGAGTTGAGTGATGGCAAGACCTGGAACAAAATGATAATAAGCACTCACTCTACTTCAATGCAACAAAGTGAAAAAAAAGTAAATTGTAAATAAAAAAAGGAAATAAAGTGCAATGACCAAAGTGCAGAGAAGGAGAAAAGGCTGTATATATATTTTAAGTTAATGGACTTGAACTTTACTTGAGGCAGGAGGTTGGGGAGTGATTACTGCCATTAAGATGCAGGAAGGACGGATGTGTGCACCAGTGTGAATAAGTGTGTGCAGCATTGATTGTAACTTGTTAGTGTACTGGTGTGGGTAGGGATGTGTGTCTGTGAGTGTGTGTGCGCACATTTCTGTGCATGGCTCTGACCTTGAATGTCAACTGGGACACACTTATGCACTTCTGCTGGCCTTTTTTCATTTTACTTTTTTATTTTCTTTCTTTTATTTCAATGTTTTATCTCCCTTTTGCTACCTGAACTAAAACTCGTGAGAGCTTCAGTCCACTCGAGAAAAAAAAAAGGTCAGAATCATTTCTTCTTTTACTTTGTGCCAAACCCCCGAACATATCTGCTGTAACCTTGTCTTCCCTCATCATTCTTATGGCAAGCTCTCTCTCAATCTTACCTAATTTGAGTGTCATTTCTTAGAAAATTAAAAGAAAAAAATCCATTTCACATAGACAATAAAGAAAGCARATTCAATTAATTGGTACAATTATTGCAAAAGATTTTAACCTGGAACGGAACTCTGACTAGTTGTTAAAGACAATTAAAAAACATTTGCTTCAACTATAAAAGACTGTAAAATACTGTAGTTTAGTTTTTATAAACAAAAAAATATATATAGATAGTCACAGTAAACGTCTCCATATTATTAATGGCGCAAAGCATTGGCTACCACATAAATAGGTTAGCTTTTTAGTTAGTTAGTAACACCATGTATATATTTCCAATAACTATTCAGGTTCCCGAGCAAACTACAGCATTACTAATTACTCACACACTCACTGGCCGCTTTATTAGATACACGTGTCCAACTGCTCATTAACACAGGTGTTGAATCAATCAATCATATGGCAGCAATTCAATACATTTAGGCATGTAGACATGGCCAAGRTGATCTGCTGCAGTTCAAACCGAGCATCAGTATGGGGAAGAAAGRTGATTAAAGTGACTTTGAATGTAGCATGGTTGTTGGTGCCAGAAGGGCTGGTCTGAGTATTTCAGAAACTGCTGATCTACTGGGATTTTCATACACAACCATCTCTAGGATTTACAGAGAATGGTCTGAAAAACAGAAAATATCCAGTGAGCGGCAAATGCCTTGTTGATGCCAGAGGTCAAAGGAGAATAACCAGATTGGTTCGAACTGATAGAACGGCAACAGTAACTCAAATAACCGCTCGTTGCAACCGAGATTTGCAGAAGAGCATCTCTGAATACACAACAGGTCCAAACTTGAGGCGGATGGGCAGCAGGGTGCCACTCCTGTCAGCTAAAAACAGGAAAGTGAGGCTAAAATTCGCACAGGCTCACCAAATACTGTATGGACAATAGAAGATTGGAAAAASATTTCYTAGTCAGATGAGTCTCGATTTCTACTGTAACATTCAGATGGTAGGGTCAGAATTTGGTGTGTTGAATCTGTGCCACGAAGGATTAAGGCAGTTCTGAAGGCTATTATATATACACTGCTCAAAAAAATAAATATATATAYTAGGGGTGCAACGATACAGAAAATTCRTGATTCGGTTCGGTTCAATACTTTAGTCTCACGGTTTGATTTTATTTCGATACAAAAAAATAGAAATTTCCATGCCCCTTTTAACTTGTAATTTATTTATATTGATTATGAACATTTGTTTAACCTGAAAAGTACAGTTTTTTAATTAAATGTTGCTGAAACAGCAAGTTTCTCAGTGGATCT